GATTGGCTTTTGCCAACCTGCGTCACTTATGGCGTAGGCGAGATATCCGTTTGCTGACCAAAGGACGAGTGTACTGCGCAGCAGTTCGCTCCGTTCTCCTATATGGATGCGAAACATGGCCGTTAAGAGTAGATGTTCGTAGGTTACTAGTATTCGATCATAGATGTTCAAGAAGAATTGCGTAGGTGAGATATATGTTTGCTAACCAAAGGGCGGGTGTACTGTGAACTGTACTCGGATTTGATTTGATTTGATATTTGTGTCTCTGTGGTAATGTGGTATGGTAACATGAACTTATGTACATACGTGCGAAGTCCTACGTTGCAACTGACTGACTGACTGGCTTGACCGCCCCTAGGTATCTTCTAACCTATTTCTATACCACAAAACATCACTTGTCGTGGCAGTCGGTGGTTAGGCGCACACGCAACTGATGTCCCAACCATCGCACCTGATGAAGTTTCACTACTTCATCAATTGATCATCTGCCTGTCATCCTTATCAATAGTACCACTTTCCTTAATATGATTTTAATTGATTCTGTTTTTTCCCAACCGCCCCCCCTCCGCCCTATTATTCTTCATATAGATTTTATCACGTCAAGTATTAGAAAATCTACTCGGTTTAGATCCAGCTAGTATTCCACCATGTGATCCAATTCCTAGTTCTGATCCAGCTATTGTATTTGCATATACTAAACTATTATGGTGTGTCGGTGCACATGAAGAAGCTGTCAGTCGTTTGTGTGTTTTAAAAACTCATGTACTCGAGCCATTACTACGTACTACGGATACAAACACTAATTGTGCTCAACAGCTGTCGTCATCAACATCAGTTTTTCAATTTCTCTCACCGAATCTATTAAATACCAATGAAACGTTAGATAGTTTAGATTCAAGACAATTAGAAATTCAATTGATAAATGAACGAAAAGAATTAAGACGATTATTGGCAAAGTAGGTCGTTTTTTTTATTTCTCTATGATTAGTTTTTCTCATGCCCTCTTTAATTTATGCCCATCGCTTTTTTTCTCGTTTCGAATGATGGAGATAAGTGTGTTCTTTTGCACTGTGAAATCGTTAGACCATCAACATTAGAAACGTGGAAGCACTGACGTTTCGTCTTGGTACGGGACCACTCATCAGTAGCAGTGCTCATCCATGACTCTCGATACTCTCAGGATTTGAGTCTTATTTGTGACTTGTGGTGTTCGACCCAGACATACAGACAGATACAACGCAAAACTTCGTACATAAGTACATCAGTTCAAGGTTGCCATACATACCACGTCAGCACAGAGACGTAACTATCAGTTCAAATCCAAGAGTGATAGCGTGATAGTAGAAGTATTACCGGTAATGGAGAAGATTAGGGAGTGAAGATATGATTCGAGAAGTATAATTCAGAGAGATAAATTTAGAAGGAGATAGATAGAGATGATGAGGAATTCAAAAGGTTAGACCTTGACAGGACACAAACAGTGGATGCACCTGCGCCATTACAAACGATTCTGAGCCATGTCGTTCAAGGTCTCTAACCATTGGTGACTTTCGTCTCGCGGAACCCAACCAGGTAGCCCATATCTACCAGTATGACTCAGTCCACTTGTCAGTGACTTCATGGATTTGTGTGTTCGACCCTGTCGAGTATAGGTAGTAACTATCAGAGATAAATGGGTTATATCGCACAAAATCTCTAGATTGATCAGAGTTAGACACTAACACCATTGGATGCTGGCCAGCTATTCGTTCAGAGGTTAGGTAGGTAGGTGTTCGCGGGCAAGACTGAATGTCCTGAATCCGAATCCTGTGGGACGCAGAAGGTCGTGGATGCTCACTGCTACTGATGAGTAGTCCCATAACAGGACGAAACGGCCGTCTTTCGGTACTTCCAAGTTTCTAATGTTGTATAGTCTAACAATGATTGATTAATGACTTTTAATTTAATCTCGAAAATGATTGGAAAATACGAAAGAACTTGATCTGTGTTTCGTCTGGGATAAGACTCTAGGCCTGTCAAATCTGAATCAGCGCCATTCATTGCACGTATCATTAAGCTAGTGGCCATGTTACAACATGTTCAACAAAGCTTGACAAATCTTCCGAATTCAACTAGTTGTTTAATGACTACTATTTAGAGTAGTCAAATACAATGTGCTATTTTGTAACTTATCCCAAGAACTATCTTTCTGTACTGTATATATTACACTTGTATTTGATTGCTTGCTAATTCATTCGCTCGGGTCTGCTTGTAGTTTGTTGTTAGGTTCGTCACTAGGTATGCTTGAAACTATTACGGATTCACCTGAGTCGATAAATGCGAACGAGACAATGAACCAGCGTCCGGGTAGGCTACCCTGATCCAACAGCTAACCAAAAGTCTTGATATAGCGTAGAAACTATATTCTACAAACACCCAGCAAGTACACAAATCTCGTTTGTTTATACATCATAGAAACGTACTTTGGACAGCACTTTAAATACGCAGCAGCCAATGAGATCTGAAGGTCAACTGATCAGCCCATGCTCACAAACATGAAATCCAAAATTAAGGCATTTATTTATCAAGCGAGATCAGGGGGATCTAATGTCCCAACATTATACAATCTTCTTGTTGACTGTAGACTTCTCACTATCATTAGGCTTGGGCTAAGTGTCGCAATGAATAGCTTAATCGTGCGCTGATATTAAGTAGTATCTAATTAGCGCTTCATTCATAGTGTAGTGAAGGAGAACACAGGTGGGGCAACACCGAATATATATTTAACGAAAATTACAGAGTTACTCGGTCAGTAAAATAGGAAAACCATATCGTAAATCGTTCATTTGCAAAATATCAGTTCATCATATCAAAAACTGGACTGTTCCTGTTGCAAACAACATCAATCCATTGTCCACTCACTAGTCATGCGTTTCATACAAATTCCATTGTTTTCTAACTCTTCCTTTCTTGATCTTCCCCCATCTTCTGCTGTCAGACATTACGTTGACTGACACTCACAGTCATATACTACTTATAAGTAGCTCGCACCACAATAGTACATATCACTAAGCAAGTGGCTATATTACAACATGGCTCATTTTTTTTAATTGTGTTTTATTTTATTTTCTCTCCCTCTACTAGATGTTGTCTGAAATTAGGTTCATGGTATTCTGAATTGTATACACGTTCACCGCCATCTGGTTGTGGTGGTGGTGGCGTTGGCGGCGTCAACAGCACCAGGAATCCATTCAGTCATAGATAATCATCATTTTGGCTAATTCAAATTCTATATTTACTAATACAAATGGAAATGGTTACAATTTTCTGTTGCTGCAGCAGCACGTACATTGTCCAAAGTGAATTCTTCAAATAATAATGATACTCTAGTAGAGAATATTTATTCATCACGTAGTAATGGAGTTACAATGCGTACATCAATTCATCATTCGAATAGTCTTACAGTTGGTTCACGTGAATCTACCACCATTCATCGTAATGGTGGTGTTGGTGGTAGTAGTGCACGAATGCGTCGAACTGGTTCCACTAACACCACTACTAATACAGGCAGTGGCAGTGGAACATCAGTAGCCCTAGTTAATGATAATATCGCTGCTTCAAGTATCTCACAAACATGGGAAGAAAGTCAAGCTTTCGTGATTCAATGTTATCAAACTGCTACATTACATGCACCAGAATGTCGTAATACATGGCAATCATGGGCTATGGCAAATTATGCTGTATTCAATCATTTAGATACATTGAAAGCATGTTTAGAACGAGCTGAATTGGAATTGAATAAAGTAAGTGAGTGTTGGAATTTGGAGTTTTTTGCATTGTAGACTTTTAATTTTGGTGTCCATCAGGAGTAGTAGTATTGTAGTAAAGGAGAACACAGGTGAGGGCAACCGAAAATTACAGAGTTAATCAGTAAAATAGGAAAACCATATAGTAAACGGTTAATTTGCAAAACATCAATCCATCATCAGTTCGTTTTCTGACATTTCACTGTTCATGCGTTTCCGCTCTTCCTTTCTTGATCTTCCCCCCATCTTCTGCTGCCAGACATTACGTGTTTACTCGCGTCATATACTACTTATAAGTAGCGCGCACCACAGTAGTAGTGGTAGTAGTAGAAGTAGCAGTATTAGTAGTAGTAGTAGTTAGATGAACTGTGAATACATTCACTTTATCAAAAAAACCATATTGTGGTGTTGTTTCGTTCTCCGAACTGGATGTTTTGGATGTGGAGCTTTCATGTTGGTAGATGTAGGCTACCTGGTTGAGGTCCGCGAGACGATAGTCACCAATGGTTAGGGACCTTGAACGAAATGGCTCAGAATCTTTTTCAATGACGCAGGTGCATCCACTGTTTGTGTTCTCTCTAATTCTAACCTTCTGAATTCCTCATAATCTCTATCTATCTCTTTCTGAATTCACCTCATTGAATTATACTTCTCGTATCATATCTTCACTCCCTAATCTTCTCCATTGCTGCTAATAATTCTACTATCACTATCACTCCTGGATTTGAACAGACAGTTACGTCTTTGTGCTGATGTGGTATGGCACCCTGAACTGATGCACTTATGTACGTAGTTCTGAGATGTATCTGTCTTTATGTCTGTCTGTCTGGAGCTTTCATTGTTCTTTTACTGAACAACATCAGCACAAACTTCAGATAGAAGTGAATACTCCACAACCACCACAACACCACTACAATCATCCAGCTGAGCTACAAATTTTTTCGAAACCATGTTGATCAGTATAAATTTCTGTGTAAAACTTTATTCATTCTTGATGTGACTAGCTATTTATTTGAGCAACGTTAAGTGGTTGTGTAAACTACTAAATTGTAAAATCTCTCATGTTACTATAATTTGAAATGTATCGATATAGTTCAATGAATATTTATTTCAGTGAAGGCTCGATTGGCTTTTGTCAACTTGTGTCATTATTTATGGTTTAGGCAAGATATTCGTTTGCTAACCAAAAAAACGAGTGTCCTGCGCAGTAGTTCGCTCCGTCCTACATAATGGCTGTGAAAGATGGCCAGCAAGAGTAGAAGATATTCGTAGGTTACTGGTTTTCGATCATTGATGTCTTTGATGCATTGATCGTTATCGTGGGACAACCCAGTAAGCAATGCTGTTGTTAGGAAACGAGTACTGGGTGAGGAAAGCAGATCAGTAGATGAAGTACCGCATCTTTAACAATTTAGATGGTTGAGAGATGTATTACGTATGTCCAACTACTGACTGCCACAACGAGTGAGTTTTTTGATGTAGAAGAAGAAAGCTAGGTGCGGCGAAACCTAAACAGGTCACAAATCCATGAAGTGTCACTGACAACTGGATTGAGTCATATTTGTGTGGGGGTCCGCGAGACGATAGTAATCGATGATTAGAGACTTTGAAAGACATGGCCCCAAATCATTTACAATAGAGCAGGAACATTCATTCTTTGTGCTCTCTCAAATTCTTATCCTCGGGTTCTTCATCATCTCTTTTTTTAGTGTATTTCTTTAGATTCTACTTCTTAAATAACATCTTCGAACTCTAATCTCTCCGATTACTGCTAATACTTTTACTGCCTCTCAGTTAGTTACAGCGTAGAACTTCATACGTAAGTACATCAGTTCGAGTTGCCATACCACATCAGCACAGAAATATAATTGTCAATTCAAATCCCACAGTAGTAAAAGTATTAGAAGTAATCGGAGAGATTAGGGTTCGAAGATGTTATTCAAGAACTACAATTCAGTGAGATAAATTCAGAAAGAAAAAGATACAGATGAAGGGGCATCCAGAAGTTTAGAATTTAATACAACACAAAGATTAAATGCACCTGCGCCATCGCGAACGCTTTAGAGCCATGTCATTCAAGGCCTCTAAGCACCGATTATCTCGCGGACCCCAACCAGATAGTCGACACCTACCAACATGACTCAGTTTACTTGTAAGTGACTTCATGGATTTGAGCCATGTTTTGGTTTGGCCTTCTTCAAACCTATTACTACATCGCAAAGCGTAGCTCGACGAGGCAGTCGGTGGTTAGGCATACTCAGTACATGTCCTAACCACCTCAACGGATGAAGTGTCAATACTTCACCTATTGACCTGTCATCCTTACCTCCTACCCGCTTCCTTACGACAGCATAGCTCACTCGGTTGTCCCATAATAAACTAACAATGCTTCGGAGTCACCTTTGATCGAAAACTATTAACGTACGAATGTCCTCTACTCTTACTGGCCATGTTTCGCATCCGTATGGTAGGATGGAGCGAACTGCTGCACAGTACACTCGTCATTTGGTTAACAAACGGATATTTCGCCTACGGCATAAGTAACGCAAGTTGGCAAAAGCCAGTCGAGCCTCCTGTATCCGTGCTGTGATTTCTTCAGTCACCATGCCATCAGCATTGATGAGACACCCCAGATACGTGAAGCGGTCAACACGCTCGACTACTTCACTCCCTATCACTAATTCAGGTGCCGATGAAAGTAGAGTTTACTACCTCTACTTCAATGTAATTTGAATTTATAGTGTCGTCTATGTAGTTCGCAAACTGTGACTGATGTATGTACGCACGAAGTTCTACGTTGTAACTGACTGACTAACGGATTGATTTATCTCAGCTCCACTTGTCAACCATAGACCCGTTAATCTTAGCTTACTATTCAATACAATTAAACGTTGTTCATTGTTTCTCATCATTCCTCTGTTATTGTTGTTTTTGTCTTTAGGCCGGTGGCGGTATTGATTCTCATAGTTCATGGGCATCACGTCGTAATTTCTCATCTTCCACTGGAATTCATGGACCTGGTACTAATCAAATACAGCCATTGAATTTCCCCGCTGGTAATATGTCATCAAATTTTGCTGCATTACCTCCCCCGATAGCAGAACTTGTACGTGCCAAGGCGGATTTACAACGATGTATGGAATTACATGCTGCACCATCAGTGAGAGGTTTTGTTAATTCAATTAGTTTATCACCAACTGCTAATTTACAGGCAAGTTCAATTTTTTTCCCGAACTTCGTGATCTTCATAACTCAAAAGGTTAGAATTTGAGAGAACACTCTTTGTGTTCTCTCAAATTCTAACCTTCTGAATTCCTCGTAATCTCTATCTTTCTGCTTCTAAATTTATTATACTTCTCGAATCATATCTTCGCTCCCTAATCTTCTCCATTACTGCTAATACTTCTACTATTGCTACTATCACTCTTGGATTTGAACTGACAGTTGTGTCTCTGTGCTGATGTGATATGCCAACCTGAACTGATGTAAGCGCACGTACGAAGTTCTGCTTTGTATCTGTCTGTCTGTCTGTCTGTCTGTTCTGGAGATCATTGTTTTTACACATTGAAATCATGAATCAGTCATTATTAGACCATACTATAATGACTGATTCATGATTTCAATGTGTAAAAACAATGATCTCCAGAACAGACAGACAGACAGACAGACAGATACAAAGCAGAACTTCGTACGTGCGCTTACATCAGTTAAGGTTGCCATACCACATTAGCACAAAGACACAACTGTCAGTTCAAATCCAAGAGTGATAGTAATAGTAGAAGTATGAACAGTAATGGAGAAGATTAGGGAGCGAAGATATGATTCGAGAAGTATAATAAATTTAGAAGCAGAAAGATAGAGATTACGAGGAATTCAGAAGGTGAGAGTTTGAGAGAACACAAAGAGTGTTCTCTTAAATTCTAACCTTTTGAGTTATGAAGATCACGAAGTTCGGGAAAAAAATTGAACTTGCCTGTAAATTAGCAGTTGGTGATAAACTAATTGAATTAACAAAACCTCTCACTGATGGTGCAGCATGTAATTCCATACATCGTTGTAAATCCGCCTTGGCACGTACAAGTTCTGCTATCGGGGGAGGTAATGCAGCAAAATTTGATGACATATTACCAGCGGGGAAATTCAATGGCTGTATTTGATTAGTACCAGGTCCATGAATTCCAGTGGAAGATGAGAAATTACGACGTGATGCCCATGAACTATGAGAATCAATACCGCCACCGGCCTAAAGACAAAAACAACAATAACAGAGGAATGATGAGAAACAATGAACAACGTTTAATTGTATTGAATAGTAAGCTAAGATTAACGGGTCTATGGTTGACAAGTGGAGCTGAGATAAATCAATCCGTTAGTCAGTCAGTTACAACGTAGAACTTCGTGCGTACATACATCAGTCACAGTTTGCGAACTACATAGACGACACTATAAATTCAAATTACATTGAAGTAGAGGTAGTAAACTCTACTTTCATCGGCACCTGAATTAGTGATAGGGAGTGAAGTAGTCGAGCGTGTTGACCGCTTCACTTATCTGGGGAGTCGCATTCGTGCCGATGACGTGGTGACTGACAAAATCTCAGCATGGATACAGAAAGCTCGATTGGCTTTTGCCAACCTGCGTCACTTAGGTGCAGGCGAGATATCCGCTTGTTAACCAAGTGACGAGTGTACTGTGCAGCAGTTCGCTCTTTCCTACTATACGGATGCGAAACATGGCCAGTCAGAGTAGAAGATATTCGTACGTTAATAGTTTTCGATCAAAGGTGACTCCGAAGCATTGTTAGTTTATTATGGGACAACCGAGTGAGCTATGCTGTCGTAAGGAAGCGGGTAGGAGGTAAGGATGGCAGATCAATAGATGAAGTATTGAAACTTCATCAGTTAAGGTGGTTAGGACATGTATTGCGTATGCCTAACCACCGACTGCCTCATCGAGCTATACTTTACGGTGTAAGAATAGGTTGGAAGAAAGCTAGGGGCGGCCAAACCAAAACATGGCAGAAATCCATGAAGTCCATGACAAGTGGACTGAGTCATGTTGGTAAATGTAGACTACCTGGTTGGGGTCCGAGAGATAATCGGTGCTTAGAGGCCTTGAATGACATGGCTCTAAAGCGTTCGCGATGGCGCAGGTGCATTTAATCTTTGTGTTGTATTAAATTCTAAACTTCTGGATGCCCCTTCATCTGTATCTTTTTCTTTCTGAATTTATCTCACTGAATTGTAGTTCTTGAATAACATCTTCGAACCCTAATCTCTCCGATTACTGCTAATACGTTTACCTCGACTTCTACTGTGGGATTTGAATTGACAATTCGATCTCTGTGTCCTTATGTGGTATGACAACTTGAACTGATGTACTTACGTATGAAGTTCTACGCTGTAACTAACTGAGAGGCAGTAAAAGTATTAGCAGTAATCGGAGAGATTAGAGTTCGAAGATGTTATTTAAGAAGTAGAATCTAAAGAAATACACTAAAAAAAGAGATGATGAAGAACCCGAGGATAAGAATTTGAGAGAGCACAAAGAATGAATGTTCCTGCTCTATTGTAAATGATTTGGGGCCATGTCTTTCAAAGTCTCTAATCATCGATTACTATCGTCTCGCGGACCCCCACACAAATATGACTCAATCCAGTTGTCAGTGACACTTCATGGATTTGTGACCTGTTTAGGTTTCGCCGCACCTAGCTTTCTTCTTCTACATCAAAAAACTCACTCGTTGTGGCAGTCAGTAGTTGGACATACGTAATACATCTCTCAACCATCTAAATTGTTAAAGATGCGGTACTTCATCTACTGATCTGCTTTCCTCACCCAGTACTCGTTTCCTAACAACAGCATTGCTTACTGGGTTGTCCCACGATAACGATCAATGCATCAAAGACATCAATGATCGAAAACCAGTAACCTACGAATATCTTCTACTCTTGCTGGCCATCTTTCACAGCCATTATGTAGGACGGAGCGAACTACTGCGCAGGACACTCGTTTTTTTGGTTAGCAAACGAATATCTTGCCTAAACCATAAATAATGACACAAGTTGACAAAAGCCAATCGAGCCTTCACTGAAATAAATATTCATTGAACTATATCGATACATTTCAAATTATAGTAACATGAGAGATTTTACAATTTAGTAGTTTACACAACCACTTAACGTTGCTCAAATAAATAGCTAGTCACATCAAGAATGAATAAAGTTTTACACAGAAATTTATACTGATCAACATGGTTTCGAAAAAATTTGTAGCTCAGCTGGATGATTGTAGTGGTGTTGTGGTGGTTGTGGAGTATTCACTTCTATCTGAAGTTTGTGCTGATGTTGTTCAGTAAAAGAACAATGAAAGCTCCAGACAGACAGACAGACAGATACAACGCATAACTTCGTACATAAGTACATCAGTTCAGGTTGCCAAACCACATTAGCACAGAGACGCAACTGTCAGTTCAAATCCAGGAGTGATAGTGATAGTAGAAGTATTAGCAGTAATGGAGAAGATTAGGGAGCAAAAATATGATTTGAGAAGTATAATTCAGTGAGATAAGGTTAGAAAGAGAAAGACAGATATGATGAGGAATTCAGAAGGTTAGAATTAGAGAGGACACAAACAGTGGATGCACCTGCGTCCGCATTCGCAAACGATTCCGAGCAATGTCGTTCAAGGTCTATAACCATTGATGACTATCGTCTCACGGACCACAACCACGTAGCCTACATCGACCAACATGAAAGCTCCACATCCAAAACATCCAGTTCGGAGAACGAAACAACACCACAATATGGTTTTTTTGATAAAGTGAATGTATTCACAGTTCATCTAACTACTACTACTACTACTACTACTACTACTACTACTACTACTACTACTACTGTGGTGCGCGCTACTTATAAGTATTATATGACGCGAGTAAAAACGTAATGTCTGGTAGCAGAAGATGGGGGGAAGATCAAGAAAGGAAGAGCGGAAACGCATGAACAGTGAAATGTCAGAAAACGAACTGATGATGGATTGATATTTTGCAAATTAACCGTTTATGATATGGTTTTCTGATTAACTCTGTAATTTTCGGTTGCCCTCACCTGTGTTCTCCTTTACTACAATACTACTACTCCTGATGGACACCAAAATTAAAAGTCTACAATGAAAACTCCAAATTCCAACACTCACTTACTTTATTCAATTCCAATTCAGCTCGTTCTAAACATGCTTTCAATGTATCTAAATGATTGAATACAGCATAATTTGCCATAGCCCATGATTGCCATGTATTACGACATTCTGGTGCATGTAATGTAGCAGTTTGATAACATTGAATCACGAAAGCTTGACTTTCTTCCCATGTTTGTGAGATACTTGAAGCAGCGATATTATCATTAACTAGGGCTACTGATGTTCCACTGCCACTGCCTGTATTAGTAGTGGTGTTAGTGGAACCAGTTCGACGCATTCGTGCACTACTACCACCAACACCACCATTACGATGAATGGTGGTAGATTCACGTGAACCAACTGTAAGACTATTCGAATGATGAATTGATGTACGCATTGTAACTCCATTACTACGTGATGAATAAATATTCTCTACTAGAGTATCATTATTATTTGAAGAATTCACTTTGGACAATGTACGTGCTGCTGCAGCAACAGAAAATTGTAAACCATTTCCATTTGTATTAGTAAATATAGAATTTGAATTAGCCAAATGATGATTATCTATGACTGAATGATTACTGGTGCTGTTGACGCCGCCAACGCCACCACCACCACAACCAGATGGCGGTGAACGTGTATACAATTCAGAATACCATGAACCTAATTTCAGACAACATCTAGTAGAGGGAGAGAAAATAAAATAAAACACAATTAAAAAAATTGAGACATGTTGTAATATAGCCACTTGCTTAGTGACCTGTACTATTGTGGTGCGAGCTACTTATAAGTAGTATATGACGTGAGTGTCAGTCAACGTAATGTCTGACAGCAGAAGATGCGCGGGAAGATCAAGAAAGGAAGAGTTAGAAAACAATGGAATTTGTATGAAACGCATGAATAGTGAGTTACAATGGATTGATGTTGTTTGCAACAGGAACAGTGCAGTTTTTGATATGATGAACTGATATTTTGCAAATGAACGATTTACGATATATGGTATTCCTATTTTACTACTGAGTAACTCTGTAATTTTCGTTAAATATAATTCGGTTGCCCCACCTGTGTTCTCCTTCACTACACTATGAATGAAGCGCTAATTAGGATACTACTTAATATCAGCGCACGATTAAGCTATTCATTGCGACACTAGCCCAGCCTAATGATAGTGAGAAGTCTACAGTCAACAAGAAGATTGTATACTGTTGGGGACGTTAGATCCCCCAGATCTCACTTGATAAATGCCTAATTTTGGATTTCATTTTTGAGAGCATGGATTGATCAGTTGACCTTGAGATCTCATTGGCTGCTGCGTATTTTAAAGTGCTGTCCCAAGGACGTTTCTATGATGTATAAATAAACGAGATTTGTGTACTTGCTGGGTGTTTGTAGAATATAGTTTCTACGCTATATCAAGACTTTTGGTTAGCTGTTGGATCAGGGTAGCCTACCCGGACGCTGGTTCATTGTCTCGTTCGCATTTATCGACTCAGGTGAATGAATCCGTAATAGTTTCAAGCATACCTAGTGACGAACCTAACAACAAACTACAAGCAGACCCGAGCGAATGAATTAGCAAGCAATCAAATACAAGTGTAATATATACAGTACAGAAAGATAGTTCTTGGGATAAGTTACAAAATAGCACATTGTATTTGACTACTCTAAATAGTAGTCATTAAACAACTAGTTGAATTCGGAAGATTTGTCAAGCTTTGTTGAACATGTTGTAACATGGCCACTAGCTTAATGATACGTGCAATGAATGGCGCTGATTCAGATTTGACAGGCCTAGAGTCTTATCCCAGACGAAACACAGATCAAGTTCTTTCGTATTTTCCAATCATTTTCGAGATTAAATTAAAAGTCATTAATCAATCATTGTTAGACTATACAACATTAGAAACTTGGAAGTACCGAAAGACGGCCGTTTCGTCCTGTTATGGGACTACTCATCAGTAGCAGTGAGCATCCACGACCTTCTGCGTCCCACAGGATTCGGATTCAGGACATTCAGTCTTGCCCGCGAACACCTACCTACCTAACCTCTGAACGAATAGCTGGCCAGCATCCAATGGTGTTAGTGTCTAACTCTGATCAATCTAGAGATTTTGTGCGATATAACCCATTTATCTCTGATAGTTACTACCTATACTCGACAGGGTCGAACACACAAATCCATGAAGTCACTGACAAGTGGACTGAGTCATTTTGGTAGATGTAGATTACCTGGTTGGGGTCTGCGAGACGAAAGTCACCAATGGTTAGAGACCTTGAACGACATGGCTCAGAATCGTTTGTAATGAAGCAGGTGCATTCATTCTTTGTGTTCTCTCAAACTCTAACCTTCTGAATTCCTCATAATCTCTATCTATCTCTTTACAAATTTATCTCACTGAATTATACCTCTCGAATCATATGTTCGATACCTAATCTTCTCCATTACTGCTAATACTTCTACTATCACTATCACTCCTGGATTTGAACTGACAGTTACGTCTCTCTGTGCTGACGTGGTATGTATGGCAACCTGAACTGATGTACTTATGTACGAAGTTCTGCGTTGTATCTGTTTGTATGTCTGGGTCGAACACCACAAGTCACAAATAAGACTCAAATCCTGAGAGTATCGAGAGTCATGGATGAGCACTGCTACTGATGAGTGGTCCCGTACCAAGACGAAACGTCAGTGCTTCCACGTTTCTAATGTTGATGGTCTAACGATTTCACAGTGCAAAAGAACACACTTATCTCCATCATTCGAAACGAGAAAAAAAGCGATGGGCATAAATTAAAGAGGGCATGAGAAAAACTAATCATAGAGAAATAAAAAAAACGACCTACTTTGCCAATAATCGTCTTAATTCTTTTCGTTCATTTATCAATTGAATTTCTAATTGTCTTGAATCTAAACTATCTAACGTTTCATTGGTATTTAATAGATTCGGTGAGAGAAATTGAAAAACTGATGTTGATGACGACAGCTGTTGAGCACAATTAGTTGTTTGTATCCGTAGTACGTAGTAATGGCTCGAGTACATGAGTTTTTAAAACACACAAACGACTGACAGCTTCTTCATGTGCACCGACACACCATAATAGTTTAGTATATGCAAATACAATAGCTGGATCAGAACTAGGAATTGGATCACATGGTGGAATACTAGCTGGATCTAAACCGAGTAGATTTTCTAATACTTGACGTGATAAAATCTATATGAAGAATAATAGGGCGGAGGGGGGGCGGTTGGGAAAAAACAGAATCAATTAAAATCATATTAAGGAAAGTGGTACTATTGATAAGGATGACAGGCAGATGATCAATTGATGAAGTAGTGAAACTTCATCAGTTGAGATGGTTGGGACATCAGTTGCGTGTGCGCCTAACCACCGACTGCCACGACAAGTGATGTTTTGTGGTATAGAAATAGGTTAGAAGATACCTAGGGGCGGTCAAGCCAGTCAGTCAGTCAGTTGCAACGTAGGACTTCGCACGTATGTACATAAGTTCATGTTACCATACCACATTACCACAGAGACACAAATATCAAATCAAATCAAATCCGAGTACAGTTCACAGTACACCCGCCCTTTGGTTAGCAAACATATATCTCACCTACGCAATTCTTCTTGAACATCTATGATCGAATACTAGTAACCTACTAATATCCTCTACTCTTACCGACCATGTTTCGCATCCATATACGGGAACGGAGCCAACTGCTGCGCAGTACACTCGTCCTTTGGTCAGCAAACGGATATCTCGCCTACGCCATAAGTGACGCAGGTTGGCAAAAGCCAATCGAGCTTTCTGTATCCGAGCAGGGATTTCGTCAGTCACCAGGCTATCAGCGCTGATGCGACTCCCCAGATAAGTGAAGTGTTCAACACGCTCGACTACTTCACTCCCTATCACTAGTTCAGGTGCCAATGCAACCCAGTCTTGAAGCAAAATTTTGCATTTCGAAGTGCAAAACCGCATCCCTAACATGCTCGCATTGTTGCTTATGTTAGTCAGAAGACTCTGCATTTTATCAGCGTCTTCACCGAATAGAACTATATCATCAGCATATACTAGGTCAGTACGCGATTTACCTGGTAGAAGGTCGACCCCTGAAAAATCTGACGAGTTATCTAAGAGGATGTCTACGACAAAGCGGTCAAGCCACAACATGGACAAATCCATGAAGTCGCTGGTAACTGAACTGAGCCATGTACGTAGATGTACACTATCTGCTTGGGGTCAGCGAGATGATAGTAACCGATGGTTAGAGACCTTGAACGACATGGCTCAGAATCGATTGCTATGAAGCAGGTGCATCCATTCTTAGTACTCACACAAATTTTAATATAAACTCTTCATGACCATTTTTCTTGGCTCAAATTTATTTAACTGAATAATACTTCTTGAATAATATCTTCGAACCCTGATCTCTCCGATTACTTGTAATACTTCTACTATATCTACCACTATATAATTTGAATTTCACGATTTGCGTCTCTGTGCTAATGTGATATGAAAACTTGAACTGATGTACGTATGTAGGAAGTTTTACGTTGTAACTGACTGACCGACTGACTGAAATTACATTTTCAGCAATCACAAAGAATGATTGTGATGAATTGTTGTGATTAATGTACAAAAGAATGAGTACAGTCTACTGTTCTTGCTCTTAAATGGGCGACGCGTGTAAAGTCACTAACCAGGGAGGTCCCACTCACTGCCTTTTCGTAGCGATAGTAAAGTTTACGAAATTGAGAGCATGAAAAGTGCTTTAACCCCGGTTGGTTAGATATGCATAATCAACCCAGTCGAGTTAAAATACAACTCTGAATTCAAACCAATAGTATACATGGACTCTGGGATCTTATGGAGGCCAATAGCTCTCTTAAGCCAATTGTTAAACAACGAATTCTATGGGACGACGATTCTCGACGTTGCTCAGCAGACTTGTAGGAAAGATGTCTCCTCATTCAGTGGCTCAAAGAAAAGGCACGTCTTAAGAAGCATAAAAATTTAGGTACGACTCTTGTACCAATATTTATACGTTCATATAAATATAATTACATAATGT